AGCGAACATGAGAGGGTCCTCAGAATCTTGTTTGCAGGCCTGTAATTCTAGGGAAATCATTTCACTGCTCAAGCGGTGGAAAGTTCGCTTGAGCAGACTGACCAAATTTAGCAAGTCCTGAACTACTTTTCACTCATTTTTCTCCCTCTCTTTGGATACTTTTATACATGTTTTAGACCTGAACACAAGGTTAACATAATTAGAAACCCACTTGAATTATGTTAAAGTAGAAAAGAGAACTACTAAATCATACGTTTAAGTGAATATAAGAAGCTTACAAGTTATCTAGTATTTCAATGTTTGTTTCCTGTTTCGTATAGGTCAAGCTTGAAGAAGTCTATACCCTTGTCTATGGAGCCATTTGTGAGTAGTAGTATAGTAAGTTGTGTTTCTTAAAAACTATGATTCGAAATGCAAACGTATGGTATGTTTATGAAAGCTAATTATTGTTTTGCTATGAATGAACATCATATATTTTTGTATCATGTATTAAGATGACATCTTGGAACCTATTTGTTATTGGGAATCATGCCAATAACCTCTTGCCAACTGAGCTCTTCGCCACCTGCTGTGGCACCTTGTATTTGATTTGAAGTGCCTTGAGAATGTTCGTCGCTACGTATATGCTTGCAAGTTAAGCTTTATTATCATGTGCAAAGCTATATTATGTTCAAAATGATCACGTTCTTGGTTTTGATAAAATTTGTTAGTGTTCATTCATTTACCACTTTATTGTATTACTATTCACTGGGCAATGGCTCACCCCTCTCCCTTAGGTGAGAAGAGTTTGAGCACCAAGGAAAAGTTTAGTTAGAAGCCAGTTTTACGTTTCTTGTATCGGATTTGTAAAGTTATGTTGAGTATTGTATTCTATTTTATTATTTAGTCATTTAATAGTACAAATAATTATTCAAGAAGAATGTATGCTTTCATTTCATATAGATATTCACTGCTCTGAACGGATGTTCTAAATGGACTCAATATAAGAAATTAAAGGTTTCCACACTCTCTTAATTAATTTTGCCCCAATTATGTTAAGAGTCCAACTTGTTTTTGTTTAGTAGGCCTTTGGTAGTCAAGAACTATTGGCCGGTCATTACACGATCCTGTTTGGGGTGGGTTGGGGTTGTAACAGTAATTTACTTCCCCATTTATAACTGCCTAAAAGTGTTGAGAGAAAATTGGGACAAGATCTCTAGTTGCTTCCTGAAAACCAAGGATCCGTAACTGCCTCTTTGACCAAGTCTAACCCTTCGTTTGTTGCTATGGATAGACCAGGGTGCAACTTCTACGAGTTGACCCAATCATCAGTTGAGTGTAAGTTTTTGAATAAACTTGTATATTTCAATGCGTAAAATACAAAGAGTACAATCTGATTTATATAGCAATTCTAGACCTAAGACTAAAATAGGAAACAATAAATCTAATATTCTCATACAACCCCCCCCCCCCCCCCCTCCCCTCCCCCCTTCTCAAGCTTAAGGTGTTTCAAAAGAAAACACGAAGAGTTTGTCAAGAGAAATCGAAACCGAGCAGTAATGTGAGTTTTGGTAAAGAAATCAAGAAGTTGAAGCGTAGATGGATCGAACGGAAGCAAAGTAGAGCCAAATTACAGATACTGGACGACAAAGTGACGATCAATCTCAATGTGCTTCGTGCGCTCATGAAAAACAATGGTATGAACAATTTGTGTAGCATTGCGGTTGTCACAGTAGCGAGAAGTCAAAGAGGATTGAGGAACAGTTAAATCATACAAGAGACAACAAAGCTAGACAATCTCAGTAGTGGCATGGGCCATAGCACAATACTCAGCTTCGACAGTAGAATGAGCAACAATAGTTTGTTTCTTGCTTTTCCAAGAAATCAAGGATCACCAAAAAACATATAGAAACCAGAAATGGACTTGCGGTCAATGACATCACCATCCTAATCAAAATTAGCATAGGCTACCAAATCTAAAAAAGACGTGGATGATAACAACAAACCCTAAGAGATAGTACCTCAGAGATAGTGGAGGATTCGAACCAAGGCTGCCTAATGCATGGAACGAGCAGAGACAAATTAGATGATCACATGAACAACATATGTAAGATCAGGACGAGTGAGAGTTAAATAGACCAAGGAACCAACAAGCTTGCAATATGAGGTAAGATCATCCACTGGGACACCAACAGTATAATGAAGCTTTACATTAAGCTCAATTGGTTAGTATCAGTGAGACCGACACAGTGCATAACTTCATTCACATACTTGGTCTAAGCCAAAATAACCCTTGGGAGAAAAACTACCTTAATAATACTAAGAAAATCCGCAATGGGGCCAAATCCTTAATTTCGAAGGTACGGAAGAGAAGGAAGAGTGGAGGTAGACGGGGATAACTGGGAAGTAGTCAATATATGCTTAAACTGAGTAATTTGAATACTCAAGGAAGCCAAGTCAAGATCAAGAGCTAGAGCAGATGCAGTATAAGCTTCGGGAGGCCGAAAAGTACTCAGAGAAAGAGCGCAGAATTGGGTCTGAGACTGCTGAGAAGACAAAGCAAGCAGACGTCCCTTCTTGGGACAGTCATACTTCCAATTGCAGCAGATGTGTAGATGGGGTCGACAATAGTAGAGGCTGAGTACAAGCCAAGAAGACAGATGGAGATAGAGCTTGACTGGCCGTCTTGAGAAGAGTTTCCTTTGACAAGAGCTCACAAACTATAGAATCCACAGAAGGGAGAGGAGAACGGTTAAGGATACCACCTTAGATGGCCTCAAACTGAGGAGAAAGAGCTGTTAAGAACTACACCAAACAATGTTCCTCACGGAACTGCAAATAAGCATCAAGTACCTTAATGCTAGATGGTTACATGAGGGCTAGCTGATCCCAGAGACCCATTATCTCAATGTAGAAATCTTGAATAGACTGATACCGCTAACTAGCACTCTAAATGGCTGATTGCAATTCATACCGCTTGACAAAGTTAGACTGCTGATAAACTCCCAGTAAATAGTTCCACACCTCCTTGGTAGTAGTGTATTTGAAAAACATCATCCCAATACAATCTTCCATAGAGTTCTGAAACTAAGTCAGAACTTGGGTGTTGTCACAATCCCAAGTGTCATAAGCAGTTAGATATCCTTCATTTTTCAAATCCGATGAACGAGAAATAGAACCAGAGACATACCCTAATTTTTTTCGACCGAGAAGAAAATACTTCATAAGCCCAATAAGCATAGTTGGCAGCAATGAGTTTGCAACTGATGGCTTGAATTTTGTTGTCCGACATCGCAAGAGTGGTAGTAAACAAAGAGAGTGTAAAATCTCTCAACAGGGGCTCAATTGGAATTAGATCTACAAATGTGGCAATTTGTAATAAACTAAAAACTTTACCAATAGAGTCAATATTGGTGGGTCAATCAGGGGTCACAAACACAGAGAGACCACACAAAGAGATAATCCCAAGTCGGCAAGCCAGATGCGCTAGATGCAAGAAGCAAAGGTGAGACACAGAGGTCATGAACACCAGATGGGTGACGATTTGAGGCAAATTGTTGTGAGGGATCGTGATTCAGGGGCTGCGAAGCAGACAAGTCACGAGGTAATGAGCTTCAGATATGTGAACAAGGGTCTGAGAACAAAGGGGTTGAATCAACATTCCAGTATTGGGTGGGTGGCGATTCCGATAAAGATCAGAGGTTGATCCTAATTTTGATATGTGCAACTTAGGAGGATCAAAAAAGAGGTCGAACGAACAGAAAACACGGCTAGGGTTTTCGCACACGGCTCTGATACCATGTAAGTTTATGAATAAACTTGTATATTTCAATATGTAAAATACAAAAAGACCATCTGATTTATATAGTAATTCTAGACCCAAGACTAAAATGGGAAATGAGAACAAATCTAATATTCACACAATCAATCTAATATATTTACACAATCAAGCTAATATTCTCACATTGAGCCCCACGGGTTGACCCATAACCACCACTCTTTTATTTGTAACTTCATGCCACGTGGCGGCCTCCTATTGGCCGTGCCAAATAGGGTACAAACAAAAACATAAGCTTTGAGGTCTCAAACTTAGAACCTCATCCACAGAAGCTTGGATTTTGACCACAAAAACATAAGCTTTGAGGTCTCAAACTTAGCTATGGCAAATATAATTTATTTATTACATTATGCCCATTTTGTCTAAACACAACTTCAATTTATTTGACTACAAACAATATATATGTATAAACTTATATATTTGATTAACATATATGCTATGTTACACGAACTCTTCAATATAAATTAAATACCCGTGTAGGACACACGACACTTGGACAAGGGTATGAGATATGTGTCGGATAATTTTAATCAGACACTTCTTATATAATTGTATTTAACACTATTATTATGAACATATTATTGTATAATTGCTATAAATGCCTTTTTGACACTATAAATTACTTACAACACTATTTTATCTCACATACTTGATTAAAAATATAAAAATACGACATTTTTTTGCCGAGTCCACGTATCCTTAAATTTGTGGTTTGATGAGTCTGACCTCTAGATACATACCCACACCTAACACCCATACCTGAGTCCATGTAACGTAGCATATATGTATGTTAAAATATAAAATAATTAATGTTTTTAATGCTTATATTTTTAAATTTATTTTTAATATATTTATGAGATAATTATGACATCACGGTTCAATTTCGCTTGACTTGACGTTGAACTAGTGACCCTTGACCTAGTACCTTTTCCGGTTTGTCGAACAATCCGTGGCTTAGAACATTGATCTAGAGTATAGAAAATGCATTGACCAAGAAAAATCAAGTTGTTTATGCCTACAACCTAGACACTTAAAACATTTGCACTGATCACAAAAAGAGAAAAACAAGATTATCAGTACGAAGATTGAATCTCCCTGCGTGAACACCTTTTATCCAATATCTAGTAGCATTTAGGTAAAAAAAAAAAAAAAAAGATTGAGCAAAGAGAAATTAAGCTTATACCTCAGCATCCAAACCAAAAGCATTCCTTCTGATGACATCCTTTAGATGAGCACGCTCTAAAGCCTCCCAGAGGTCAGCGTCATTGTGTTCACTGAAAGGATCAAGATTAAATCGGATGGTCCCTAGCCAAATAAAATGAGTGTTAATTAGTCACTATTGGAAGTTTTTTTCACAACACATTTTCGTGACAAGGAAAAAAGGAATAAGTTACATTAACAAATATTAGTTTGAAAGATATAGTGGGAAGTTATTATAAACAAGTGTAACTTGGTATAGCCATAGAGCTGTACTCAAGATGCCTAATGGAAAGATTGAGGAGCACTGCAGACTATCAAACTGTTTGATTGTCAATTTAATTAACATAGACAATTATTTGTAATTGATCCAGACATTTCAAGATCAGACTTCTGTAAATTGTCAGTTGTTAAGTTATTGTAAATCCATATGTTTCATTACTTGACACTTTTTTCTCTTGAGTTTGTGCATATTCACATATGCCTAGCTTGAGTGGTATCTATAATGGAAGGCCTTCCATCAAGGCCGGCCCTGAGATTTTCGGGCCCCAAGGTGAAATCTTAAAATTGGGGCCCTTTATGTATAAAAAAAACTATTTATTCAAAATTTTACCTTGAAGGTGTATAATGTATATTAGTAAAAATTAATAAATTAGGATATTAATAACAATAATTAAATACAACACTAAGTACAAAAAAACTCTTCAAATAAGAGAGAAACCTCAATAAATATAACAAAAAAATAATACACACATTTGATGAAGAGATTCGAGCCAGTAACTATCTATCTTTGAAATCACATTAATCGTGGTTTTTTTCTTCTTTTTTTTCAACTTTTTAACATTAAAAAAATAAATAAATAAAAAATTGAATTTTGTTTGACAAAAAGTGAGGTATTCGTAGGCACTCTCATATTACGATACTGCAAGTATTAAATTAGATTATAATCTTCAAAGAAAAATAGATTATAAATTATCAGGTTTATTGGTGACAAGTTTATTTTTATGGATATATTGCATTAGTTCAAGGATTTTTTTTTTTTTTTTTTTGAGATAATGAAAAAACTTTGATGAAAGGGTTGGAGTAGTTTATATCAATTCAAGTTTTTCATTCAAATTTAGAATAAAAGTAATGAAGGGTTGGAGATGCTCTAAGGATCTTTAATTTCGATTGTGAAGTTAAATTAGATAATTTGGGTTGTAATTTTTAAACCTACAAATCTCATAAGAGTTAAAATTTGACAATTTGGGGGGCCAAGGCGGCCTTGCCTTGGGCCAGGGCCAACCCTGCACTTCCATATACAAATATATTACATAGCATCCTAGCATCCTTTTCATAGGATTTATGTGACAAATATGAACCGTGTGCAAAACTAATACCAGCCATGTCATAATTGTAGAACATTTTTATGTCCTTATGTACAAAAGTTAACAAAAGAATACCATAAGCAAGAAAACGTACATGAAAATATATATTTGCCTGAGGTGGCATGATAATGCACAACCTAGCAAACAACCATTTCTTGTGTTTTCTATGTCATTATATTGCCCTCTACTAAGATGCAATAGGTAGACAACAGCTGCAACACCCACATATAGAAAAAGGTGATTGGGAGACTGCCAATAGGCAGAAGATAGTTAATTTATCAGAAGTATCTAGGGAATTTCAATATTCTACAATTATAAGGTAAGAAATTGAAATTCTAGAAAGTGTCAAGATCTTAGTTTTTCCTGAACCACAGGAGAGGCATTTTATTCATCCCAAGGCTGATATCAACTTGAACAATTTTTTAAAACCGAGGACAGAATAATACTGGACATATGACTTTTATGTTGAGAAAGTGCCAATTACGCAAAGAGGAAAGAAAATGAGACCAATTCAAGAGAAACATAATAATTAAAAAAAATGTAAGGTATACTTGGAACTTATATTCTCTACAATCGAGTTTATGGACAATGCATACCTGAGAAAAGAACGGGTGATTGTGGAATAATACTCAAAACTTTACGCAGATCTGTCAACCCAAACTTTGCAACATCACAATCATCAATCAAGATTTTTCCTCTTTCCAGTTCTACAATCCGAAATAAAGCATTGACCATGCTAGATTTCCCGGCACCAGTCCTTCCTACTATGCCTACCTTCTCACTTGGTGAGATAGTGAAGGACAGTCCATGCAAGACAGGAGGAAGTTCAGGCCTGTAACGTAAGACAACATCTTCAAATTTAATCGATCCTAATGAAGGCCATCCAGGTGGTGGACGATGGCTCTCGATGATGGCTGGAGCCTCAGAAGGTAAATCTATATATGTGCCAACACGCTCAACAGCATTTAGACTGTTTTCAGCCCTACTTGCTTGTCTTAAAACATTACTCAGTAGATTTGTGATGTTTAGAGAATAACTAAGAAGCAAACCCATTGTAGATGCGAATGCCACCTGGTTTTCTGCTTTTCCATTCTGCATGACAGCAAAGCTTGCGGTAAACCATATTATGATGCCTCCCAATGTTTCCAATCTTATGGTAAGCCAGCGGTTGGAACTTATGTTGACAAGAGTGAATCTGATATTCTTATCCATAGATTTTCCATTAATGTTGGCCATCCGGTCATATGCTTTGTAGGCACGAATCGTTGACAAACCATTTAGTGCTTCTCCAAATTGTGCATAAACTGGAGATCTGGTAATGGAATCTAAGCGTTTTACTTCCCGGCTTGTGCTCTGCGAAACAGACGTATATATTGTTTGTAGTCAAGGGTTCAATTGACATGAAATGAGCAATGTGAGAAATATTTGATGATTTTCAATTTTGATATGACAAGCATATGTAGAAGCTATGTAAATGTTTGATTTGCAAAAAATACAGTATAAGGAATGGCTGAACAGATTTAAGATACTATCTCCATATTTTCTTATTTTATTTTGCCTTCCCTCCCTACACATTTCCCATGGCGACCAAAGATGTACCTCCTATTTTGATAAGGATCAGCCCCTAAAAATCTAAGTTAAAAGATGGAAATAGGGATAAGTTCTCTGATCAAGGAACTTTGGCAATTTCCCAGATCAGGGGTATTTCTATAATTTTTCAAACCCAGGGGTCATTCAGTAATTGTTTTATTATTTGGGTCTATATTCTTTGGGAGCTTCTATTTGCACACTGTACTTTGTCTCAATCCACACCATTTCTGCCTTTTGGATAATCAACTTCTGAACAAAAATCAATTGTTTGGATATCTAATACCGAATGGTGTTTTTGTTCCGAAGTTGATATTGAAAAATTAATTTTTTGTTCGAAAGTTGATATCAAAAAGGAAAAATAATGTGAACTGAGAATTTTTGTGGTGTGCAAATAGAAGCTCACATGTGTTCTTAATTGGATTATGTTTGTGTCTTAATTAGTTTTGGAAATCCTTTTTCTAGTAGGAATTTTTAGGAAATCCCAAGTTCAATTTGAGAGGTTTTAAGCTGCTACATATGCTAGCCTAGTATAGACACTTTTACTAGTTTTGGCTAAACAAAATTTCTAACTCTGCCTGTGTCATGCTTAGTTCTTCATCTTTTACACAGCCTTCAAGCCTGGATAAGGAGGTTTTGTGTTAGGCAGCCTTCTCGTAACATGAATCCTAATATGAATAGATGAGTAAGGGCTAGGGCGTTTCCTGTAAGCGATGCTTTGTGCCTGCATTCAGACATTTCAAAAAATGGACAAGGGGCGCTGCATCGGTGAAAAATAAGTTAGGTTCCCTGTACTTTTTTGAATTAGTTCAGGTATAGAAGTTAGCTCAGGATTGTAGGATTAGGCTATCAACTTGGAAACCAACAAATCAAAAAATAAAACAGAAGAGAAAGAAAACCAACCTGATAATATAGATAGGCTGCATAAAACAAAATCAGAAGTGGCATTATGGCCCAGAGGGAGATCGTGCTCACTATGCCAATCAGCACAAAAGTTGACAGAAGCTGCCAAACTTGGCTGAGAAACATATTCATAGAACTGGCAACATTGCGATCTATATCACCCACATCCCTTGCAAATCTGTTGATTACCCGCCCAATTGGATTGGTATGGAAGAATAACATAGGAGCTCTGAGTACAGACTGTAGCATGGTATCATGTAATTTTCTAGCTGCCTTAAGGCTTGATGTAATCAACCAAAAGGAGTTTGTCAGTGTCACAATCACCTGAATACAGCACATGCAGAGTAAGAAACCTCATTTTCTATTTTCAACTAACATAGCCAGTGCATAGGCATTGTTGTGCATAACATATATATATGTTGTGTGTGTGTGATATTCTTTCCTACTTGGTTTTACTATTACCAACCAAGAACATAATATTTGGAAAGATGATTAGAAACACATGAAATTATTGAGTTAAATAAGATAAACAATACAGAAAAGAAAATTGGGATAATCAATTGCAGGAGGATGAAGGTAAGTTGCAAGATGAAGTTGTCAAAATACCTGACTAAATGACAAAAGTGCGTAAATCAGAATGAAGAAACCTGGTCCAAAACTGCTTCCAAAACTGCTTCCACCGCTTTGTTTTGTCCAAACACTTAACCACGTGCTACTCAAGACTCGAAGAACTTCAGTTAAAATGTAGCACATAAACAGTATCATGACAACCCACAAACCTCCTAAGGCATCTTCATACCTGGAAGAGAAGCAATATAAACACATTAATACAGGGTATTTCTAAACAGGTTTGATTCAAGAGGCAACATTGGAAGAGACCTTGTACAGCACAACTAGTTGCCTCCAATGTATAGATAATATTCACCATATGGCGGTACTTACTCTATTGACATTTATTGCTACTGTAACTGTGGTGAACAAGAAAATCCATCTTCTTTGGCAACATTTGATTTCCGAAGAAGAGAGGTCGACTGAAGAGAAAAAGGAGGTGTATGAAAATATTGTAAAAGGGAGGACGTCCCATCAAGAGGAAGAAAGTGGAATTGACATGATAATGAAAATTAAAGGGTATGATGAAGAATTAAAAGGAAGGAATTCTATGAATAGGGACTCAGAACTGAAGGAAGAGGTATGTGAAAATATAGATGCAAGTAGTAGAAATTAGCACAAAGCAAGAAAGAAAAGGAAAAGAGAACTAATCTGATCGTCTGAGGACTTACCTGGTGAAAACAACTCATTGGGGCCTCATCGCTTTTGTGTGTGCAGGTGTAGAGTCAAGAAGAGTTATTGGCCGACAAGGGAAAGCAGGAGCATAATTTTCGTCCCACCATAGTAACATTACTATAATGGCATTTAGAGGGATAAGGTAAGTTCTTATTGTTGAGTTTATAAAAATATAGGCATAAATGTATGTTTGGTTTGGTTTGGTTTGGTATATGTATGTATGTATGTATCGATCAGGAAGGAAGATAAAAAGAATGTCCTAACCTATATCTATCTCACAGTAAATTAAAGGGCAGTGCCTTTTTTTAATCTCCACCCCATGGATAAATGATAATGAATCTAGTTGAAAAAAGATTCCATAATTTCATTCAATTTTTTCTAATGTGCTTTTTTTTGGAAATGGCTTTGTGTAGTGTGTCAGTTTAACTGATCTACAAACTGCTTTTCAAAGAATCACTTATGATGTTTCATCTATTGTTATGCAGCTGAGTAGATATGATTATGAAAATTGAGGCGTGGCATGTGCATGCAATCAACGCAAAACAAAAGAATGAAAAGAATTATTTGGCTTACCCATGAATGAGTTAGAAGCCATGTATATATAATAGATCCATGATACAATTTAGGAAACGATATTAATAAGGAAACAATACTAAATTAGTGATTGACACAATCACAGATTATATACATAATACTAAAAATAAAAAGATTCTATGTATTCTAATTTCTATATTCAACACTCCCTCTCAAGCTGGTGTGAAAATATTCAACAATCGCAGCTTGTCAATGGATGACTGGAAGAAGCCTGAAAAAACTCAATGGTTAGTCCAAATAAATGCTACCGAACAAATCTGGCAGTCCACTAAATAAAAAAAACCAAAAAGTTCTTAATACATCAGCACCACACCCTAGAAAAGGACAAAAAAAACATAGGGATTGAACTGCCCTAGAAGAGTTACTGAAGCATCTATGGCCAGGAAATACCTTGGTCGGCATCAGAAGCCGGAGCTAATGTCGGGAGATAGTTTATGGTCGTGCCGGACTATTGTAGAAACTGGTCGGAACTAATGTCGGGACAGTTTAAGGTCATGCTAGACAGTTGTAGGAACTGATTAGAATCAATGTCAGGATAGTTTACGAGGTCATGCCGGACTGTTGTAGGAACTAATCGGAATCAATGTCAGGACAGTTTAAGGGGTCATGTCAAACCATTATAGAGACTCACCAGAATCAATGTTGAGATAACTTAAAGGGGTCATGCCGGACCGATGTAGAGAACTAGATGTTGAACCATCTAGCGTGGCACACACATAACTTATGACGTCGTGTTGAATGATGATGGCAACAAATGACTGAGTGCGCCAAAGGGCGGCTTATTAGAAAGTGCGCCAGGGGGCGGCTTTAGTTGTGCGCCAAAGGGGACAGTTTTAGTTGTGCGCCAGAGAGGGCAGCTTAGGTGGTGCGCCAAGGGGGCGACTTGGGTTGTGCGCCAAAGGGGGCGGCTTAGATGGTTCACATAGTATATCACCATGCTCACCATGATATAGGTATAATACCCCCTCCCCCCCTCAAACTCAAATACGTTTGAAAATAGAAACCTATTTGAGATTGAAATAGAGGGAAAGACAAAAGTGGAACAGAAACACACAAAAAAATAGATTGCGAATAAAAAAAATATGATAGAGATATTTGGGATAGGAATAAACTAGTGGGTAGAGGAAGAGATAACCATGAAATGATACTAAAAGAAAATATGTCAGTGGAATGGGTTGAGATCCGGCGGGCGGCCAAGGCAAGGTTGCCGCCTGCCGGTGAAGTAAAATTAGTAGGTACTTAATCTAGCTCTGATACCAAAAAGGATGAAAAGAATTATTTGGATTACCCATGAATGAGGTAGAAGCTATGTATATATAATATATTCATGATACAATTTAGGAAACGATATAAATAAAAAAACAATACTAAATCAGTGATTGACACAATCACAGATTATATACATAATACTAAAAATAAAAAGATTTTATGTACTCTAATTTCTATATTCAACAAAAACCAAGTTCCAACTTTATACTTCTGTCTATTTTCTTCAGCTGTTTTTCATTATACAGTGTCCTTTACCAATTTTGCCACTGCTGTAAATGCCAATCTCATTAGGAACAGTCTTCAGCTGCTATGACGCACATGCAGAAGACAAATAAAATCACATGGACTTCTTTATGTTGGCCTTGAAGAAAGTTAACCTAGAACATCTAATCTTAAGCAGTGTAAACTTAAAAATATCTCTGTCTTGAGTACAATCTGGGCATCCAAGAAGGTGACAAAGATGAATGTAGGGTCTCTATTTGAGTGATTTAACCAAATATCAGTTAGAAGACTCAAATTTGTTCATTAAAAAACATGTTTCTATATCATTTTGCTTAAGCGAAGAATTCCACTTTAAATCAAAAAAAGAAGAATAGAAAAAGAAAAAGAAACATCCCTAACAATGTTGGATAACAAAACAACGCCCAATTAGTACACATTAATGTGTTTGGGAGGGGAAAAATTGAATATACACCTAAATTTTGGCATAATCCACAAAGTGATGGCCTCAAGACTTGAACCCATAACCTTAAGGTTATTAGGCCAAGTCTTAACCATTAATCAAAGCTTCACAATATTTTTTAAATGACTCATCACTGTATAAACTATAATTAGAAAAATAAAATAGCTTCAGATTGGACATCAATGTCATAATGACTTTAATGAAACTTACAACTTTTAGCTTTGATTACACAAAACAAGCAAAGAAGATGATTTTTATCAGGTTCACAGGAACTGTTATTTTGTCAGAATAGCGCTGAAGAAATCCAGACAAAAATTAGAACTGTCACTTGGATAAGCAACAAAAAGATTCAAAAGAACAGGACACGTGTTAAGTTGATCTCCTATCTGAACCATCATTTTATTTTACTTCTATATTTTTTTAATCATGGTCAATGTTTTGGATTTATAAAATAGGATTTTTTCCCCTAACATCACATGTTTTTATTAGAAAATACGAAAAATATAGCAGTATCAGTGGATATCCTTTTCAATCATTGTCAGTCACATGTCCAGCATACAACATGAGATTTTGATCAAGTATTCTAGGATTCTTATTTTTTGAGCTGAAATATAGAGGTTGAAACAGAATGAGTTTATTTAATGTGTTTGAAAATTTATTACAGCAGTGAAACTCATTTTGACTACCTTATTGAACCCAAAACCTACAACCTTTCCTTTCTTTAAAAACACCACAAAATCACTCGCAGGCAGATATACTTTACCTAAAGTCATATAAGTTCATACAATAGCATGCAATTGCAAACCTATTCAAGAAAAGATTCATATTAATTTTGGTCATTTAATTTTGTTTTCCCTAGAAGCAATCAAGAAATCAATGAGCATGTTAGAATATATAGTGATATATATTACTTTTGTGTTGAGTGAGGGTACTATGGTTATATGGTTATATTGTATTTTATATAAATATTTGTCGATGGTTTTAGGTTTATTCAAGAACCTAAAAATATACGTTTAATAGACAGTCTTCTCTTTGTTCCTTCTCTCTTTCTCTCTAGCCCTAATCAAAGTTTTTCATACTGTTCCACTTCAACTGAACAGTAAGAAACAACATAGTATGATAGAAATGTAATACTAAAACTTCATGATACAGCATACTACCTCTTTAAGACTTTCCAACTGACAACACCTGTCTCTCGTTCTTCCTGCTTTATAAGAACAGATTTTCCTTCTTTCCTTTTATTTTTTGAGTTCACACTTTTTGGAAAAGCATTCTGCACACCATTATCAGCAGGCTTCGAGGATTTATAATCAAGATTAATTCCATCTTCCATTTCATCACCATATTCCTTTTCATCCACATGTTCTTCCATTTTCCCTGCATTCTCCATGAGCTTTTTGAACAATGTTCCACTTCTAGAAAGCTCCTCAAATGTTCCCTCCTCTTTGACCATACCTTCAGATACTAGTATAATTTTGTCCACCTGAGGAAGAAAATGTAGCTGGTTTGTGACAAGCACTCTGGTTTTCCCTTGCAACTCGCCTTTGATACAGTTGTTAAAAACCTGGAGGAAATTGATACTGGAGATTAGACCAAGAACCAAAAAAAAAAAAAACTAATGATTAACAAAGTTGAGAAGATTCAAGAGCCAATTCAGTGATAATTATGACCCAAGATAATGTTTAGATGTTTAGAAAACATGAGCAATATTCTGAAGAGAAATAAAGGAGAGATGAAACAGAAAGTCATCTCAGTTTTCTGATTATTCTTCCGGAAGGTATATTTCAGTAAATTTAGCTTGTTTACAAGTACGAAGAGTTAGCAACAAAGAGCATCAGAGACCTTTTTCCATGAAGTATATGGTATAATCTCAGCACAAATGACACTCTAAGTCAAAGTAAACCATTTTAAATATAAAAATTTTCGTTCTCTCTAAATAGGTAGGTGACAATATATTGCTTAAACATGAAATGTTTACCTGTCGACCAACATGGGCATCTAGAGCACTTAAAGGGTCATCAAATATGTATACATCTGCATTTGAATATACAGCCCTAGCCATGGAAACTCTTTGCTTTTGTCCCCCACTAATATTCACCCCTCTTTCACCAATCTCTGTAAGATCGCGACCCTGAAAAAGCATTAAATACACAAGAAATTCAGGTCCAGGATCCATTTTAATGTAATGACAGCATTCCATCACATATCATGTTAATGAAAACTAATCACAATCATATAACATTATACTTAACAGGAAGTAAGTCAAGGTCATGCTGCAATGCAGTTACATCTATTGCCTTCCAGTATCTGGCTGGTTCAAAGTTAGATCCAAATAATATGTTCTCGCGTACCTGTAAGGATAAGATTTGCTCATTGAATGATCATAAATCCTGAGCATTTTTAATATAACAAATTTTCAGCTACAGGACATAGTTTTGATTGAGGATGAGCATGCTGTAACTCACAGTAGCATTGAAAATCCATGAAATTTGGGGAACATAAGCAACAGATCCTCTGATGACAACACTTGCATCTGCTACCGGCGGAAGCTCCCCAATCATTGCTGATATAAAAGACGTCTTTCCTTCTCCAGTACCACCAACAACTGCAACTAGACTACCAACTGGGATGTCCAAATTGATGTTTGCTAATGTGGGGTTTTCTGCCTGAAAAAAATATGTATATATATACATAAGAATACAGGAAACATAAATCCTAAAAGTCACAGGATTGCTAATGTTATCAGTATATGAGAAGATTGAACTCGTGTAACTATCCAGTGGAAAGGTAATGGCTTCACAGCTGGAGTAGCTTACCGTTTCCTTTATTTTATTTTCACTTCTTTATTTTTTTGGCAGGCAACTGTAACATTTTCTTGTTGATGCATAAATGGTAAACCTTGACCATTAGACAAATAGGGCTGAAATATGTCATATAAAATTCTGTGTTTCACTCTAGTTCACATAACAACATTCACCGTCCATCTTTCCCTGTCAGGGGACTAAAGGAAAAGGTTATACACAGTGCACAAGGCTCTTGCTTACGGTAGGTCTGGGAGAGAGAGTAGGTACTAGGTAGACAGCCTCCCCCCAACCTTTTTGTAAAGATGCTGATTAAAAAAAGTTCCAAGATAAAAAGTGAAAAATCATTATGAATGTTAAGTAACTTGGAATATATCTCTCATCTTTCTGAAGTCCAAATACTTTTAAATCCTAATTATTCCTGGGCAATACAAGTTAAGTTCGAACTATTTATATGTAGAGATTCATGACAGCCACTTTTTCTTTTGATTGCTTTCTTAATCTGTTCACGTCACTAGCAAGTTTCTTTAGATGACTGCTACTTCCTATAGATTCCCCATGAACCTCTTATGATTATCTTTGATACAAATATGCCATATTTATAAACACCCAAAAGATACATGATGCTTTGGCAGCTCCATTATATATTCTATAATAGAGAGAACACAATGCTTAGACAAACCAAAATAAGTAAGCATGAAGGACTAAAAAGTGCTACGAATGTCAAAATTTACTTTGTTGAGTGTTAGAATAGTTATATGTTCTATGTTATTTTTGTGTTAAGTTGTGGGTACTATGGTCATATTGTTAGGTGGTATGTTTTATAAATATGTGCTGATGGTTTTAGGTTTATTTTAAGAACCTACAAACATATATTCAATATAACGCAGTCTTCTTTTCTTCTCTCTCTCTCTCTAACCCGAATTATAGTTTTACATATTTTTACATTCTAACTTGGTATCAGAGCATCAATTCTGCCCTGTCAAGTGTTCATTAGACTCTTGGGATTATTCTGAGGTGACAATATGTGCTGATGTCATCCTCTGTATGATGACATCAGCATGACATCATAATTTGTACGGACCAGATTGACCTCCCAAGGTCATTTTCTCCCTCTGATGATGATGATGACTTTTGTGGAATTTTTGGGACCATTTGATGCAAGTTTTCAATTTTTGAATGTTTTTTGAGTTTTTGGTGGTATTTTCTTCAATCTGTGGTATAGCCCATTAGCTGAAGTTTCTTCTTGTAATCAACTCTGTGGGAGCCGAAATTGCCCTAGAGAGCTGTTTTAGAGCTGGCTTTGCTGTTTTGTTGGATTTTCGAGTGATTCTGTTCATCTGTTTGGCGCAGCATTGCTGATTTTGTTCCAGTACTGTACCTATTTGTTCATTCTGGTGATTCTGGTAATTTAGCTTGGTGATTACTAGTAGTGGTAATTTCTTTGGCTTGTTTGTTTGATTGTTTGTTTGTTTGTTTTTCTTTGTGTGTGTGTGTGCGGGCGCTTTATTGGTGGCTGGTGTTGGTCTTTGCTTTGTGCTGCCATCTATTGTTATTTTCTAGTATTGTTTTTTTATCTCATTGTCACGGCCGAGGCAAAACCTGATGCAAAATCTTCATTGGTTAACGATGATGACTTACCCAAGTCTGTTACAACTAAGAAATTAAATGGACTGAATTATCTGGCTTGGGCCCATGCAGTTAAGATTTTCTTGTGTGGCAAGAAAAGTCACGCTTTCTTACTGAACTTCCACTAGCTGATAATTATAAGGGCTATGATGATTGGTTAAGTGAGGATTCATGTGTTATGGGGTCACTTTGGCATAGTTTGGAACCCCATGTTGCTACTACAGTGGAGTTTTGTGAAACCTCTAATGAAATTTGGGACTCCCTTGCTGATTCTTTTTCCAAATCAAAGTAGCATTTCTCATGTCTATGAGTTGTATGAATAGATCTTTGTTACTCGACAGTCTAGTTGTCCTCTACCTAAATATTATAGTGGACTTAAGAACTTGTGGGATCAATTACTGCAGCACAGACCCTTTACTATTGGTTTGGTCCAACAGAAGAAATATTGGGAGGAGTTTATGATGGCATCCTTACTTTTGGGTTTAGATTCTGATTTACGAGATTTCAAAGATCAGATTCATATTAGTAAGACTTTTCCTTCAGCTGCTAATGCCTACTCTCGGCTATTGCTTTCTTCTTTGGGATAGTGTCATTCTACATCTGGTTGCTCCTGCTAGTCCTTGTCCTTTTCTGCATTGATCTCTAGCAGTGGTGACCGTGGGCCTACCCCTAGGAGTTTTCATGGCCACTCTAGTCACCATGGCTCTCATGCTGGTTCACGTGGTTCTCATGGTGGTCATTCTTCTCATGGTTCTCATGGTAATGGTCGGCGTGGTACTAGTTCCATGTCCCGTGGTGATCAGAAGTGTACTTATTGTGGTTCCTTGGGTCATTTTGAACCCTGGTGTTGGAAGAAGTATGGTAAACCTGATTATGTGAATCAAGTTATGGATGCTCCATCCTTGCCATCGACATCCTTTCCTTCTAATATGGTGGTTTCCCCAGTTGATTCTCGTGATACACTCACTATTCAGATTAGTGAGGTTACTGACCACGTTCATTCTCTTCACACTGCTCTCCCGTCATCCTCCATAACTACGTTGGCTAGTACAAGCAATATTGCACGTATGGCTCAAACTTCTAAGCCTTGGCTCCTAGACTTCGGTGCTAGTTCCAACATTTCTGATAATTCTTCTCTTTTTAATACTCTTCATCCTCGTTACCGATAATATTATCTTAGCTGATGGATCCTCCCAACCTGTCAGTGGGCAAGGTACTCTTCAATCCATCTCTAGTCTTTATGTTCCCACCTTTCCATTTAATTTGCCTTCTATTAGTCAATTAACTAAAGCTCTTCACTTTCTCTTACTTCATGTGTATTGCATGACTTCCAAACCAAGCGGATGATTGGTTCGGGACATAAGAAAGATGACTTATATTTTTTGGATACTAATGGCTCTCCTCATCCTACTTCTGTTGTTTTGAGCGCGTCTCCTACAATGGCATTTCCGCTTGGGTCATCCATCATTGGCTAAGCTTAAGTTAGCTATTCCTGATTTGAGTCATGTGTCTCAGCTTGAGTGTAAAGTGTGTCAACTTGGCAAGCATCGACGTAGTTCTTTTACTAGTCGTAGTGTTAGTCGCGTGTCTACATCTTTTGATGTAGTCCACACAGATATATGGGGTCCCTCTCGAACTCCTATTGTTAATGGTTTTCTTTATTTTGTTATTTTTGTGGATGATTACTCTTGGATGACTTAGTTGTTTTTATTACAACAACAGTCTGACTTGCCCCAAATACTTTCTAAGTTTTATAATGAAATTTTTACTTATTTTGGGAAATCTTTATGATATTTCGGTCTGATAATGCCTTAGAATATGTGCAACTATTGTGAATAATTTTTGTGATGATCGTAGTATTATACAGCAAACTCGTTGTGCTCACACCTCCCAAAAAAGTAGTGTTGCTAAGCGGAAACATTGCCATTTGTTGGCCGCACCTTAATGTTTAACATGCATGTACCCAAACAGTTTTGGAGTGATGTTGTGCTCACTGCTTGTTCTCTTATTAACCGCATGCACTCAGTTGTTTTACAAAACTAGTCTCATTTCTCTCAATTATACCCCAATTGTTCCCCGTTTCCACTTCCTCTTTGTGTGTTTGGTTGTGTGGGCTTTGTCCATGTCCTTGATTTAAGAATGGATAAGTTATCTCCCCGTGCTCGCAAATGTGTTTTTTTAGGTTACTCTCGTACTCAAAAAGGTTATCGGTGTTATCATACTAAGTCTCGTCAATTTTTTGTTAGGGTTGATGTTACCTTTTTTGAGTCCACCTCTTTTTTTCCCCCCTTCTGGCCAGCAGTTGTCTGCTCATCTTATCTCATCATGAGGGGGAGCCGTCTTTTCCCACTCCGACTCCGACTCCCACTCTTCTAGTGCCTTTTGTCCCCTCACCAGCTCTAGGTTTAGATTACTGTCATTCTTCACCATCTCCTCTACAGGTTTATCAGCGGTCTCAAGCGTGTCGCATTGTTTCTTATGGCCTGGCTACTTCATCTTCTTCGTTAGAGGCTCTTGCATCTTGCTCCAATGCTAAGGTTGAGTATCGTACCATGGCTTGTACCGCCTCTGAGATGTTGTGGGTTTGTTCTCTTTTGTAGGATTTTAGTATTTCTGTTCCCACTCCAATGAACATATGTTGTGATAATCAGGCCACTATTTCATTTTTTAATAACCTTGTGTTTCATGAGCGCATGAACTATATTAAGATTGATTGTCATTTTATTCGGGATTTGTTGTTGCGGAAGCAACTTATGACACCATATATTCATTCTGATGATTAGTTGGGTGATACTCTCGCCAAACCTCTCGCTCATTCTTTATTTTAGTGTTTGTCTGCCAAGCTGGGCATGTTCGATCTCTATGCTTCAGCTTGAGGGTTAGTGTTAGAATAGTTGTATGTTCTATGTTATTTTTGTGTTAAGTTGAGGGTACTATGGGCATATTGTTAGGTGTTATATATTATAAATGAGGGCTGCTATTAGCACCTGCCTAATTTCTTTGGACCCCTCATTTCTTTGAATCCCCGCCCTAAATCCAATTTTACCCATATTCATAATATCATCACCCCTAATTGCAGACTCGCCTAATTTTGCACACCCTCTCTTCTTCTTCTCTCAGTGAACAATGAACGATTGAGAACAACAAGTGATTGAGAGACGAATCAAATATCCCTCTCTTCTCTTCTCTCATAAACGATGGTCTCTTTCTCCTTGTCACCATGAACGACGGTATCTCAATTGAAAATCTCTTCTACGATCTCTTTCTTCTTCTCTTAGGTAACCTCCAACTCCCCATCACTTTTTTTTTTTGGTTTATTTCAGGGTAATACCCTCGATACAGGGGGTTTTAGGGGGAAAAACCCTTAGAAAAGAAATAGGAGAAAAATCCTGCAAAATAAAACAGTTCGGCATTCTAGTTCCGAACAAAATGTTTATATCCAGCACTGCATTACTGAACTAAATGTTTTTGTTCAGCGCTGTATTACTGAACAGAACCTTAACAGTTGACAAACCAACACCGAATCGAAAATGACCCAGAATCGTAAATGCAAGATAGATAAACTTACTTATGCAATGCCAACCTCATCAGAGTTTTTGTCATCGTCTTCCATTGCTCTATAAGTATCAACAAATGGTGAAAACGATCACAAATGTAGAAACTCGGAGTCTGTAATAGGATTGTTTGCAACATTAACTGACTTGGAATACTAAACACATTTAAAACCATCGAACAAAACGTTAACTGATTAGGTGGTTTCAAATGTTTTTCATTGAAGATGAATACGTGGGTGTAAGATGGTGATGAAGAAGAATGCGGTTAGGCTTTAGGTTGGTAAGGAATACGTATAGATGGGGATGAAGGTTGTACAATATTGTAGAGTGTCATTCTAATTGTTTTCATTTGGTGGGTGGGTGTTTCATTAAAAATTGTCATTTAATGTAATTTTACTTCAGGATATAATTGTAATATAAAAAAAAAAAGTTGAAAATTGGGGGGTCCAAAAAAATTAGGTAGGTGCAAATAGTAGCACTCTTTTTAAATATGTGCTGATTGTTTTAGGTTTATTTTAAGAACCTACAAATATATTCAATATAACAGAGTCTTCTTTTCTTCTCCTCTCTTTCTCTCTAACCCTCATCATAGTTTTACATATTTTTACATCATAACTTTGAGCAATGCATAAGAAATCATAAAATTAAAGCAGAAACACAGAATTGAAAAGCAGAAAGCAACACACATCATAAACACAAAACACACTTGTAAATTTAATGTTGATAGCAAACCTTAGAATCCCATGAAAAGTATCCATTCTTGATTGAGATGGCAGGAAGTTCTGGCTCAAGAGGTGGATTCGGTAACAAAATTCTTTCTTCAGCTAAGAATAGTTCCTCCAATCGTTGTAATGATACATTTGCATTTACAACCTGTAAGCAATATCCATATTTAAATTTTATAGCAAAACTGGCACTTGAGCACTACTCTAAACATGTAGGGGGGAGGGTGGGGGGAACATTCTATTAACAGATATAAGGTAAAGAAATGAAAACAACTACGCTGCAATACATCAGAATATAAACTATAAATATAAATAAATCAAAAGTGAATTGCAAAGCAGTTTTCACTCAAATCCTTCAATCATTTATCCCTCAGGGGCTGTATCACGACTTTTCAAAGGTAGTAATACACTCTTTGAGGTGTCGCATGGTTAATGCCTCTTTCTATCTATGAGGCTAGCAAGGGGCCACCCTAAGGGTGTGCTAAGAAACCTTAACGATCCCTCAAAACAACCCTGAGTCAGCTCTAAATTAGCATTTATGAAACACAACTACTTCATTTTAGTAGTCATAGCAGTGTCTAACATGTGTTAGACACACACTGAGATATTTATTGGACACACCATATGGCATGTCAATTTTTTAATTATTTTTTCACTGGACAAGTTAGGGGGACGCATCAAGCACATGCGTGTCTTGTGCCTAGATACTCCACATTACACATTTGTGTTTTTTATTTTATTTTTATTTATAATTTTAGAAAGTTGGTTTGGTGGTCAAAGTATTGCATTTCGAAACAAGATGGTGGCGGAAAAAAACATTTCTCCTAATACGTTATATCTTTGATATCTGTAATATGTGTCCTAAAATTCAACTAATATAGGCAGAAAGCATATGTCTTTGAAAAAATCAATTTCAGTGTGTTACTATAATCTTTTTTTATGTACATTGGTTTGTAGAAATTTTGGTGCAAACTTTTGGCATATGTAAACACTATATTATTATTTCTCAAGAATAATAGTATGATTTACATATTTTTTATGGATGATCTATTCATTATTGTAATGACTCTAATTTTATTTTTTTTTTAAAATAGCCACTGTATAATTTAATTGAGCAAATTTTCAAATTTGATTGTTATGTAAATTCTGTGCAAAAACAGTTCGGTTTTGTATTTTTTAGTAATAGTTTCCGATCTCAGAAAATTATGAAATTTTTATATGTTGTTCCCATATGAGTCTATCACGTTGTATAAAAATTTCATAATTAAATGATGAGTATTTATTTTATGAAAATTCACGGACTGATTGGTGTTCAGTTTAATTTATAACAGAATTTGAAATTGAGTTTTGGGTGTTCGGACCAGGATTTGAGATAAATTTGTTGGGACTATTTTGGTACATAATTGGACCATGTTTGATCTATGGGTGAGACCCATGATTTAAATTTAATTTAATTTGAATTTGTTTAATGACTCATGTTTAACTGTTTGGTCATTTTTAATTAGGTAATTAGTAGTAACCACCTTAGGAGTTGTAATTATTTATTATATAGGATTATAATAAATATTTGATAGTTGATTTTATGGTGTGTACTATATGGCAAAAAATTATATATTTTATAAATAATGAAAATGTGTATATTTCATAGTGATCAAAATATTATATTTTGTGGTGAGAAAAATCATATCATTTTATAATTTATATTATAAAATTCAAAAGTATTATTACAAAAGTTATATATATATATATATATTTAAAAATACCAAGCTTTGGGAAGGCAAACTCACATGGGTTGCCCCCCTTTTTGTGTTGGCCATCATTCCTCTTCCTTTCCTTTTCATCTCATTTCATTTCTTGTTGGGTTGGCAGAGAGCTTGGCCCTCTTTCTCTCTATCTCAACGTGTCTCTCTCTCTCTCTCTCCCTTTCTCTTTTCTCCATTGTTGCTCAATCTTTGAGCTTCAAATTGGAGTCCTTAGAGTGAGATTTTGCAAAAGTGTTGTAAATGAAAGTTGGAGAACTCGTCGTGATCTTCGCAATGGTGTTCTCAGATTCATGACCGAGTGATGTTTGCATTTTCGGATTAGCTTTTCTTCATATTTGAGATAGGGACTTTTTCATATTTTTACATTAAAAATGACAGATTATGGTTTTGACATGATATGATTTCACGTATATGTATGACTATTTTTTACATTAAAGTGTAAGGCGGCGGTCAAATCCTAGTCAAACCCAACAACAGTAATATACGTGGAGTAAAACTCATCATGAGATGAAATCTTATCGTTATAGAAGTCCCGACCAATTAGAGATTATGTAGTGTAAGACTTCTAGATCAATTATGTTACTTGCTAGGCAAGCTACCGGATTATTATAAATAAACCAGCACCCCCACGGGATGAGGTACCCTATTTTCTTAGCGGCTAGCGGTGTTTTTCTTGTGGATGGTGATCACGCGATGGTTTTGGTCATCTTCTTCATTGGGTTTTTTCATAATTAAGTATGGTATTTTTTTTCTGTCCTAATAGAACTTAAATGCTTATGAGATCTATGATAGTATGGGTCATGATTGATGAAATAGTACTTTGTATGCCGAGCTTCTATTTACACACCATAGTTTACCTCAATACACACCATTTCTAGTTCACACCTCCACACCATCTTCATTTTTTAATATTTTCTCAATTCACACCCTTTATGCCCAAAAATACCCTAACCCTACCTACCCCCAACCCAGCCACCACCAGATCCGGTGACCCACCACTCCCTCATCCACCCTCCACAACCCATCCCGACTACCACTGTCCCTCCCTCAAACTCCTTCAACCCTTCCTTGCCTCAACTCCGCCCCACTCCGACACCTCCACAACCACACCTCGCCATTACCGCAGCCTTAGTGACCGCCACCCCCAACCCTCGCGATTGACTAAGATCGATAAATGATCAATCAAATAGAGAGAGAGAGAGAGAGAGAGAGAGAGAGCGAGCAAGTGAAGAAGAGAAAAAGAGGTCGCAATGGGAGGGGTTCGCCAAAGGAGGCGTTGGAGAGTTGTTGCAGAGGGAAGATGGTACCAGAGGTAAAGGGCAGCGAGGGAGGCGGTGGAAGTGGGGTAGATGGCAACCGGCGGTGGTGGGGTTAAGGTGGGTGGGAACGGTGCTATTGGAGGTGAGGGGTAGCAACCGGTGCTGGTGGGGTTAGAGGAGGTGGCAGTTGGCGGTCGCGGGGTTGGGAAGAGGTGGCAGCCGGCGGTGGTGAGTTGAGATGGAGGAAGGGGTGTGTACGTAATTTAATTGAAGGATACAATGGTAATTAAAAAAAATTGGGATAATGGTGGGGAGCTTCTATTTGCATACACCCATTACACTCTATGCACGTCCTTCTCAATAAATAACTTGTTTGGAAGTAGTATTCCAAAAATAAACAACTTGTTCGGAAGTAGCATTTCGAAAATTATCATTTTTTTCGACAGTAGAATTTTGATTTTTTTTTCATTTTTTCGACATTCAACTTCCGAATGTGTTTATTTGAATTGAGTGTGATGTCCATAATAGTAATTTTACTTGGGAATAAAATTGTAATAAAAATAATCATCATTAAGTGTGTGCACAGAGTGGAATGTGTGTGTGCAAATAGAAGCTCCCATAATGGTGTGAATTGAGAGAATAGGAGGTGTGCAAATAGAAGCTCCCATTTTATATGTTAATTGATATTTCAAATTTTAAATTGTAGATTGAGTTGTTTTCATGTTAAAATTAGGGGTAATTTTTATTTTTATTTTTCTTTTATTATTATTATTATTATTATTATTATTATAAATAAATACTTTTTTAAAAAAAAATCATTATCACCGCCATGTCCGTAATTTTTTGAAAATTGTCAGTTCCCATGTCCTTGCTTCTTAGACTACCATATCAAGGTGTAATTCAACCCTAACCATTTTTGCCTTCCTATCTTGCTTTCAAATCGAAATCCCTTAAGTGCCTAATTATCTTAAGATTCTAGAAAACTGTTCATGAAATATTTGCAAGGCCGTGAGAGTCAACTCTGTCAACTTTCAAATCCGACATTCGGATCCCAAGCTCAAGACAATTGACCTAGCACATTTTGAAAATGCTCCTAAAGTTCTATACCATTTTGATGCGGTTCCCAATTGTTCAGTTTCCAAGCCGATCATGGCTCCTCAATTGAATAAAATGGAAAGTTCAGGAGATGGCAGAAAATGATATTGGATAACATATTACACAGTTTACATATTGAATAAATTGATTAATTGCTTATTCTACTTTCAAGTATCCAAAATATCAAAGTCTCAATTGTACGCTGAATAAAATTATAACCAAGCTGAAGAAGGCAAAACCTGTGTTATTAAATTTGGAAGCATGTTTAACGGAAAACGTAGCATTGCAAACAGAGAAAGTGATGTAAAAGCCCTCGAGGGAGTCAAATTTCCTCCAAGAAAAGTGAACATCCCAAACGATGTCACTGTCACAAGCACTGGAATGCTGTTTAGTATGAAACTGTTACACTACATAAGAAAAAAATAAAGTTAGGAATGGTACATTCCATGGTCAACATAGAGGTTTGGCGTTTAACAAAATTAACAGTGTCATGAATCACTTATGGTCGACAAATAGCCTTTAGAGAAGCTGATCCATTCAAAGATTATAAAAATGATAGGTAGGACAAAAATTTGAATCATTAATGCAATTAGTCTACTTCTGTAAAGCACAAGCAAATTGTAGTAGATCATTGAGTCATAAAATAGATGAATCAGGTTACGATACTACACATATTTATAGTCTTGCCCAAAGATAAATCAAATGCAGTACTATATAACAGCATAGAACTGGATATGCAAGTAATTCTATGTGCAAATATAGATGCATATGCAATCTTGGGGGTGGCCCAAAGTGCAATGGCTTTAAAAAAAAAGAAGTAATAATAGATGAACATTTTTTATCGATACCATATATATATTTCAGTGTCATGCTAATCTTATATAGTCTTCTACACATGCACAGAAATTGTATATGATCTTGGGGAAGGAGCAAGATGGATTGATGAAATTACAAAGAAATCCATGTGAGTATCATCCATCCAGTAGCATAAGCACGTTGATAGACATCTAGAGTTTCCAGGGTTGAATCAATATCAGGATAGCCTTTATAAATATAGGTGGCTTGGCCCTAGGTGGCTTGATGCCTTGACCCCAAGTCTTGCCATTGGCAGGGGCAGTCTTATTCTGAGGTAAACCAGAGAGGAATGACTGTCTTATTTATTTATTCCTATATATTGCTATTGAGGAAAAAGCCCTTTGCTACACCCTACTCTTTCTTTTTCTTTTCTTGCCTTGACACTGCCTTCAACACCCAGAGACATTGACTAGGGGCTTTGGCTTGATAGAATTGGGCTCAAGCTCTCATCCTGGACCCTTACACTTCTAAAGAGAAGACTCAAGAAAAATCTCAAAAGTTCTGTCCGAAATCGCTCAGTGGCTTATCTTAGTCTTAGTACCGAGCTTACACATAACCCTCTGGTTTGACTATCGAAGCCTCACTAGCTAACTGTCCCAAAGTCCATTCCATTCTATAGAGCTCACAAACGACAATCCAAAAGGAAGGTGAAAGTAGAAAGCATGTTGAAGGGAAAGGGAGAACGGGTCAATCTTGATATGATAACCCTTTCCTACAAAGAAGGCCACACAGAGTACATTCTCGCTTGAGACCGAGACAGAACAAAATTTGATTATGCCTCACTTATTGTATATGCCGGGTCCATTTAGTCTCACCCTGCTTTCTCTTCCCCTGCTAACAGGCCCGAACCATCAAAGCCCTCTTGGTTATTTTCACATTGAAATTTATTGTTCACATTTGTGAGATCCATTTGTAGTCTCAAGGGCTGGATCCTACTGCCTCATCATTATGATTACATTTTTTGACATTATTCTTGGAATCCTGTGGAAATTGTAATGGACTTTTGTCACAGATTAACCAAACTCCTCAAACTTTAGGGGTTTGGCACAATTTTTGCAAGGACATCATTCATTAATTTTCTTGTTATTATGTTTGCCTCAATAATATGAGATCTTAATAATTCCTTATGAAAACAAAATGTATTATTTTGTTGATTCCTCCACCATTTGAACGTCATTTACAATAAAACTTGAATTTGATGATATTGTCTTACCCATCTTCCAAATCCTAACCCTGATGCACCTACCCGTCCCACCCCCTCTAGCCTCCTCTTCCACTACTGCCTAACCTCCTCCGCCACTACCTCTCTCTTGAGGGATAGATCTAGGACTTGAACTTTGGGAGGGCAAAAACACACATAACTTTTCGTCGAAAAAAATTATTATAAAATTTTAAATTTTGATTTATACTAGCACATGGATAATGTATGTTTTTATGAGTAACATGATAATTCATTTCAATAAACGAAATTAAAAATTATGAACGCATTTTCAAGAATGTCATGTTTTACTATTTTTAGAGAATGAACAAAAAAGAATGAATGCAAAATAAGGTATATAAGCAAATTAAAGTGTGATTTATAAAAGGAAAAAACAACAAAAAAAAAAACAACAAAAAATGACATATAAATAGAAAAGAATACTAACAAATAAGAACAAATAGAAGAATATAATTAACTCTAAACAATATTGAAATATAACAAATAATACATATAACAAATAGAATAGATCAATATTTGATAAAACTCGATTTAGAGACTATTTTTTAAATTTTGTAATGTAAATAATTTGGGGGGTGAATCTTTATAATTTTGAGGGTGAGAACTATTGAAATTTTGGGGGTGCGAATCCCCCCCCCCCCCCCTGGTGTCCGGCAGCTCCTCTAGACCCATCCTTGTCCCTCCTCCCATTCTGCTCCCCAACCTCCCTAGCCACCCCCGACCTCTTCCCCTGCTAAATCAGTATTGCATGATCAGTGCTTCTAAATTGGCCTCCTGTGTTTGGGCATTGGCATGTGACCATCAGAATATAAGCACTGAGAACTCTAATTAGTTGCTTGCACTTCAATCTCTGGATGTTTGGATGCCCCATGAAATTGAATGAGTTCATTGATTGCAACTGGTCGAACACAAGCCAACCCCATCCTAACCATTAAGAAAACAAAAATTCCGTTCTCTATCTTCATTCCTATAGTCATCCTTTCCTTTCTGTTGCAATTTCTTCAAGATCATATACAACGACCCCAAGGTGCCAGGGTTTGGAGTCGAAAGCTCTTTGAAGAGATTTGTAATTAGTTTGGGTTTTTGTGCTTTAAATTTTATTTTTTTTAAGATAGATCTTGATGAATATAGAAAAGTCTCAAACTTTGTGTTTCATGAGAACAAAACCCCAAATTATGCTTAGTTTAATCTATGCTCCGTGTGCTGAGTCGAAGTTTCCTGCACCAGGTGAGCAAAAACATGTCCCATAAGATCAATAGAGAAAGGGTTTTGTTTCTATTAACTTAACTTGAGTTGATACAGAGCTCTACATGTGCTAAGTTGAGATGAAAAATGGTGCTTCCCATACTGATAAGGATATATGTGCAGCACTAGTTTAGAAAATTCTTCTAATTGCTTTCTTAGGGCCATCACATTCCCTTTTGCAGCCTTGGCCGATTTGCTTTTCTGTCGCATTCGAATTCTAGCCTCTTAATGATTTTTATAATGAAAGGGGAGGAAGACAATGTCATGGTGAGGATACTGATAAGGATATATGTGCAGCACTAGTTTAGAAAATTCTTTTAATTGCTTTCTTAGGGCCATCACATTCCCTTTTGCAGCCTTGGCCGATTTGCTTTTCTGTCGCATTCGAATTCTAGCCTCTTGATGATTTTTATAATGAAAGGGGAGGAAGACAATGGGTTTGTTTGGTTTGTATTTGAGAAACATGTTTTGAGATAAAAAGTACGAAAATTTGTTTGGTTTGATTTTTTTTCAAAAGATGTTTTGAAAAATTATTTTGAGAGAGAGTTTTGAAAAAAGTGATTGATTTGATGTGTACGAAAGAGAGATTTGTTTGGAAAACTTGTAAACCAAACAAGTTTTGACAAAAAAATTTGGGAAAATTTGTTTGGCTTGATTACTTTTGAAAACTTATTTGTAGAGAATTTTTCTCAAAATTTTTTGAGAAACACAAACCAAACAAGGCCAATGTCATGGTGAGGAGGGAATAAAGATCTTTTGCATTTTCTGTTAACACTGTTAACTGTGCATTTTTGTCCCAAACCATGTGAGTGTGAGTGGCATATTTTTAAAAGACGGGGTGAAGCCAAACCATAAGGTGGTAAAATGGAATTTGCCCATAAATATATTTGTAAGTATAGTTTGTTACACATCTTCAGCCATTAAACTTGGGATTTGCCTCCACTAATACTAAAACACTTTTCCCCTTTACCAGCATGTAATAGATAAGCCTTAAGTTTTAAGTCTAAATACCCCTCGCTTCAACACTCCATGGGCAAAAAAGAAAACAATTACAACTAGCCATGTTGATGAGGACCATAAAGGCATTGGATGACAATAAATTGAAGAATCTTTGAATTTTGGTATTATTCGGAGTTATGATTTAAAAAGATTTTATGTCTTTAGGATTTTGTATCTTTATTAGTAGTTTCCAATTCCATAGTTTCCTATTTATGAGATTCCTAATTAGATGGTGCTTATGCCTATATATATGGCCTTTTATGTAGTAGTTTGGATACCTAGACTTTGATGATTAATGATTGGATGTTGAGTTTGATTTCTGAGAGACATTTTGGGAGTGAAATCCCCATTTATTCTTCTTGTCTAAAAACCCTATTTTTTGGTTATGCCATTCTTCGTCTTTTGGTTCTACACCACATGTCCTATAAGATGTTAAGTAACTAAAGCGAGTTCAGAACTCACTAATGCAGACAGGCAGGCACATCTACTAAAAATGTATTATTTCATTCAATTGTAGAGAGTACAACAGTAAAGAAACTTATCACAAATTATGGTGCCATTTGCAAAATTTGTAGCGCCAAGAAGGTGGTTTCCGAGATTATGATTCATGTCATACCGCTGACAGTAGCTGTGCTTTCTGGAACCACGAGAGTTCATCAAACCGGATGCTGTGAACTTTAGATTGGAAACTCTCCTCCCACGCATAACATCTGAATTAGTTTAGCATAAAATAAAAATAATCATTGTTAACAGCCTAAAGTAGTACATAAGCTTAAGTAAAACATAGCAAAGATTAAACTATACTTCACAGTGTCCATGGCAGCCAAGATTTCATTCATCAGCCCAACTCTCTTATCAGTACGTTGCAATCCTTCCTTTGACAGTTTTCTCATTTTGCTTATGACAAATGTCTGTTCCCACAAGATAAATTAAATGTATAAGAGTTCTGAGCAAAACAGTGGAAGACACAGTGACTACAGTCAAATAGTTATAAATCTTAAATTCATGGGCACTGAACAAAGTAAAGAACAATGTTTCCTTAATATCTCCAAGATCTTGTGACATCTATCTCAATGCTCAAACATTAACTGCAATATTTCCTATGCTCCCCAAACTTAATCAGGTTTCAAAAGCATAGAACTACAAGCACTCTGAGGTCTAAAAGTGACCCATTCTGCCCATCAATATAACTTTTGAATCAAAGAATCACATTCAGAGTAACTTAAAATTGGCCATTGTAGACCAGTCAATGGACATCTGCTGCCAAAAAGCAAATTGGTTAGGAATAAGATTAAGCTTACTCTTTTAAGTCCTACAAAATGCTATTACATGTATGGGACTCTTCTGTAGTAGATGTTGATGAAAAGTGTGTCTGACTGTTCTCTCTCTGCACAAGACTTTTTCTTTTTTTTTTTGGAACGACTCTCTACACAAGACTCGTTTCTTCAATCTCAACACATCTTAACACATCTTATATAGTGTACAATCATACTACACTAATTAAAGTCATCCATATTAAAATAAGTACTTTTAGTGTTTAATATATTTTATTCAGCTCCAACCAAAGACGTATGCTATACTCAGTGGCGGACGCAGAAATTGTGCAAAATTATTTAAATTTTAGAGGAATTGAAGTAAGATTTTATAGATTTTGGAAATCAAAATATTAATTTATTTTACAAAAACTCAAAATGACATGAAAGTAATGAGATTTTTCAAAGGTTTGGGGTGACTAAAATACTAATTTATTCTATAATTACTAAAAATTACATAAAAATAATGAATTTTTTTAAAATTTAGGATAGCAAAAGTAAAATTATTTAGATTTTGGAGGGGTTGGAGTAAAACTATATATATTTTGAAGGGGCCAAAATACAAACTTCTTTTATAAATATTCAAAATTTCATGGTAAAAGTGCAATTTTCCAAAAAACAAACTATTCATATCTTATTGTGTATTACTATATCTGCCTTCCAAGACACTAGGGGTTCTTCCATAAAACAAACTAACAGTTGAATTTTGTTATAAGGCATTAAGGTTGAATATGGAGAGATAATAGAGACAGAAAAAAGAAAAGAAAGAACACAGAGGTTTAACGTGGTTCAGCCAATATTGGCCTACGTCCATACACACAAAGCCCTAGAGGGCTACATCTTTCATTCACCCAACTTGATACTCTTGTTTACATGATACATTATATATATAGAGTGGGAGATACAATTAAATCCCTTCAGTTAAGGAATTGAAATAAATTAAAGATACAAAAAATCATGATAAACACAAATTATGGGATCTCCATATATTCTAATATCTTCCATATCTTCTAATATCTTTGACAATATAATCTTATCTCCAACACTCACCCCAAGTTGGAACACAGAACAGTTGAAGTGAAGTGTCCAACTTGAACTGAAAAGACGATGACATTACAAACAACTACAATAAAGTCGTCGAAAGACAACAGCAATTGTAATAACTCCCTTCAATAACAACTTCAATGAACATAGGTAAGGAATCAACATCTTGCAATAAAGAACACCACAAATAGAAAGGACGAAAAAAGGGCATCCCACAAAGAATGGTAACACACCAACAGCCCAAAAACACACACACAAAAAAAAAAAAAAACAAAACAAAACAAAAACAAAAAAATGAATATGTGCTTATACATCAGCATGGGAACCCTAAGGGTAGAGAAGTAGCTGGAAAACTCGACATATCATAGAATAATGCTACCAAACACCCCAAGTTGGAACACAGAACAGTTGAAGTGAAGTGTCCAACTTGAACTGAAAAGACGATGACATTACAAACAACTACAATAAAGTCGTCGAAAGACAACAGCAATTGTAATAACTCCCTTCAATAACAACTTCAATGAACATAGGTAAGGAATCAACATCTTGCAATAAAGAAATGTGCATTGAATCAATCATGATGGCAGTAAGAGAAACCAATCAAGAGCGAGAAAGAAACAAGCCAAAGCAATGGCAAATCACCACAAATAGAAAGGCCGAAAAAAGGGCATCCCACAAAGAATGGTAACACACCAACAGCCCAAAAACACACACAAAAAAAAAAAAACAAAAACAAAAACAAAAACAAAAACAAAAAAACGAATATGTGCTTATACATCAGCATGGGAACCCTAAGGGTAGAGAAGTAGCTGGAAAACTCGACATATCATAGAATAATGCTACCAAACACATCAGTAGCCCAGAAGCAAGTAAAAATCACAAAGTTTGTTTACTACATCAGCAAATTAGTGGTCAAATCAAGGAAGAGCGAAAAACACCTTGACAACAAAAAAATGTGGAGTGAGAAAGCACTCCATAGAGAAACATGCCTAGGGTTCAATTGGCTTTGATACCAAGTTGAATTTTGGAATAAGGCATTAAGGTTAAATATGGAGAGATAATAGAGACAGAAAAAAGAAAAGAAAGAACACAAAGGTTTAGTGTGGTTCAGCCAATATTGGCCTACATCCATACATACAAAGCCCTAGAGGGCTAAGTCTTTCATTCACTCAACTTGATACTCTTGTTTACATGATACACCATATATATAGAGTGGGAGATACAATCAAATCCCTTCAATTAAGAAATTTAAATAAATCAAAAACAAAAAATATGACAAACACAAATCATAGGATCTCCACATATTCTAACATCTTCCATATTTTCTGATATCTTTGACAATATAATCTTATCTCCAACACTAAACATGCAAACATATATGTGTTTGATATAATATGCAACTAAAAGATCTTTAACAGTCATTGCACCTCGTCTAAATGACAAACAAAATATTTTATCTGATTGCTAATAGTTGTCTTAGAAGAAGTGAATGTTGGCTTGCCACAATAAGGGTGAGGCCATGTGTATATATAATGAAACTGATTACAAAATAGGAAATAAACAATAGTGCAAAAATTAAGTCTAAATATTCATGATCCACAAATCATGGGATCCTAAATATATTCTACAATATATTTTATATTCCAACACTCCCTCTTAAGCAAGTTCACATATACTAACCAAACCCAGCTTGACAATGGAAGATTGGAGCAGAGATGGTCCCATATACTTAGTGAAGACATCATCAGTTTGATCAGAAGACAGAACAAAGGATGGACAAATGATGCCTCTCAAAACGTGGATGTCAACTTCGATATGTTTCGTTTGCTCATGAAGAATTGAGCTGGAGGCAAGTCATATGGCAGATTTGTTGTTGCAGAATAATTTGGAGGAGATGCCCATCTCAAAGCCTAACTCAGAGAGAATGCACCTGAGCCAGAGAAACTCACATGTGCCTAGAGCTATAGCGTGGTACTCAGCTTCTGCAGAAGACCGAATACAGCAACTTGTTTCTTGCTTTTCCATGATAGAATATGACTACCATAGAAGGTACAAAACCCAGAGGTAGAGCATTGACCAGTTGTTGACCTAGCATAGTCAGCATCAGTAAAGAAGACAGTCCGTTTGAGTCCTAACGGAAAGGAACAAACCTAAACTAAGGCAAGACTTGAGATATCTCATATGAAGAATAGCATCTAGATGAGTGGTACAAGGCACATGCATGAATTGCGTAACCACACTAACCGCAAATGACAAATTCGGCTTATATTAGTCAAGTAGATCAACCATTCTACCAACCATTGGTACCGAAAAGGATCAGAAAATGGTTCACCAGACTCCGTTGAAAGCTTCAAATTTTGATCCACAAGGGTAGAAGCAAGTTTGCACCCCAACATTACAATGTCTTGAAGAAGATCCAAAGTGTACTTACGTTGAGAAAAAGATACTCACTAGAAAGAACGAGCTACTTCTATACCCAAAAAAATATTTGAGAGGACCAAAATCCTTGATGTCAAAGGCTCTAGTAAGCTCCTATTTCACTAGAGCAATTCTTCAGGCATCATCCCCGGTGAGGATGATATTCATCTACATAGACCAACAAAATGTACAACGACCATTGGCTTGACGGTGAATGAAACGTGTGATCAAAGTGGCACTTAACAAAATTCAAGGATAAAATAACATAATTGAGCTTGCTGAACGAAGCCCGTGGAGACTACTTCAATCCACATAGTGACCTTAAGTAGACAGGATTGTTAGAATAATATCTTGGTTATTATGTATTTCTTATTATATTTTAGCTGTCATTAGCTGTGGTTTCCTTATTATGTATGTTCCTTATTTGTGCCTTAAGGCTTCCATTGTAAGCTAAATATTATCAATATAAAAAGGGATGATTGTCTCATCATTCCATAAGTTTTGTTTCCTCCTAAACAAACATGGTATCAAAGCATTAGGGTTACCTTTGTGTCCTTTCACTCTCACCTATCACCAGCCGACCCTTACCCACTTTGTTTTGGCACTACCTCTTCCTCTCTAGGGCTTGCAACAACTTCCTCTTCTCACCGACAGTAGTTGGAGGACATCTAGGTCCAGTCGCTAGTCCTTTTGCCCCTTTCGGCTTAAACCGACAGCCCCTGTTCCTTTTTCGACTCAAGTCGAAAGCCTCCTAGCCCTTTCAGCTCCAGTTGACAATCCCACTATGGTTTTCAGCTCTGATTGATGTGTCTCTGAGGGTTGCCCATCATCAGCTGGTCTCTGGACTGTTTCATCACAGTTTCTGACCTTGTTCCTCCTCTTCTTGGGTCAATATCATCATCTCGTTCAGCACATGTTTTGATTGGTCCATTTGCACTCTGTTCCCCACTTCAAGCAAGTTTTTCTCTCTTCTTTGAGAATAGTTCAGGCCTTGTCTTGATTGGAGGTTCTTTTTCCCTCTATTTTATTTATTTATTTATTTATTGGGTCATTATATGGCCCCATTACACAATCTTGACTGATTGTTATGCTCCTATAATGGTTTGTGATTGACATTGCTTGGTACAGTTAATTTT